CTCAACCTCATAATAAACATTTGTTTGTGTAATAGGTTAAATTGCCGTCACACAACAGCCAACAGCATTTCCCAGTTTTTCAGTCAAGCCGATGTATATGAGCTGCTATGTGGATCTAACGATGTATGAAGTTTTTGATATTCTGTGGTGCTCAGTTCACAGCAGTGATAGTAATGTTGTCACGGTACCAACATTTCAGTATTCGGTACCAATGCCAGTGAAAATCCACGGTTCTCGGTACCAATTTCGGTACCAAAGCAAAATAAAAACACATGCTAATTAAAAAATTTGACTATACTTTCATTTAATCCAAACTGTGTAAATATATATATATTTTAAAGGGCTTGTGAAAACCTTCTAGAGTTATTCAGCCAATAATAACAACTAACTAAGTGAGCTAAAAGAAAAAAAAAACTGATCTGACTGATATGACACAAACAATGTTAACCATTTGTACGTTCTCTAACACGCATATTTTAGATTCACAATTCATTTAAAAGCCTCTGGTGTGTAAAAATAGTAAATATCATCATGTCCTCCTGTTTTTTTTTACCCTAATAAAAGTTATAGGAACATTAAATAGTTAATAAAGAACTACTGCTGCTCATTATATTAGCGTTATTATAGATTATATTAGCATTATGCTAACGATTAACTACTCTAACAGCATTCATTTCAATCTGACATTCAAATTAAAATATTGAATGATATTCATAACAGAAGCGGTGTTTCCCACAAACTTGCACTCTACTTGTGGCGGCATATATATGCAAATTAATTCTCTGCCAGCAGGAGGCGCTTGTAGAGTGGGAGAGATAGAGGTACCAGTAACAGCTGTAATCAAATAAGCGCTGTGCTCACAAAGGCTGCTCAGGCATTACAGGCAAGATGAAATGAAAATGACATCCATCAGTCGGTTTCCTTCAAAAATACAGTGATATAAAAACACCCGCGCCGGGTTTCGACTTTGACACATGCAGTGCTCATGTTTATTCAGCGAAGTCCAAGCCTTTTGGAAAATCTATTTGTGGCGGTCAATTTTGATATTGTGGTGGGCCGCCACAAATAAATCAATGGATGGGAAACACTGAAGATCTAAATATAAAAAATTTAAATGAAACGTATCTTCTTGAACTCTTTCATTTGATGTGGGTGTCTTTAAAGTGTTTTGTTAGTTTGGTGTGTTTCCTCCTTTTGATGTCGCCACGTCTCAGTGCTTTTATGAAGAGAGTGCATCTGCGCACCTTTCGAGTAGCACATCAAGAACCGGGCTGACCGGGTACTGACCGGAAACCTGGTTCTGTAACGTTTTCATTTTTTAATACCGACTTGGTACCGAAGTACCGGGTCTTTTGGCAATACTAAGTGATAGAAATTAATCTACCAATAAGCTTATATATATATAAGACAACATATCCCCCTAGGGTAAACTGAACAGAACCAACATTAATGATTAATGTAGCAGATATCATCAATGTTCTAAGTGATTATTTTATATATCAACATAATTCAGTGGTCTGACTCAAGAAGAAATATCCAATGCCAAGTCCTGACTGGACGAGAGGAGGAGTTGGGGATGGAGGTGGGTGATTAGCTCCTGAGCAAAGTGGTAGCTGCTGAATAATGACTGAAAGGACCTTATAAAGGGAATTATGATTGGCATCATATTCCTATAGGTAGACGTGGATCAGCTGAGTGTCAGCTGATGCGAGCTTGACTAACGTGACCTGCCAGAACTAACGATACGCTCCATTTTTGTGAATTGTGGGACTTTGGAGCCTTGTGGAACGTGGTCGTAAATGTATCACTGTTGTAATTACAGAACAAAGACTTTAAAATAGCTTTTGATTTATAAATGTTCGAAATTGTGACATTACTTGGCAACCATAAACAACCGTATAAACCAATGTAGTAACAATTTGTCAATATTAAATCGCTTTTATGAAGCTGTCTGCTGTCTTTTTGAAAGAAGTAAATAGGAACATTTTAATTAATCTAGGACCAGTTAAAAGTGACAGTAAAACATTAATGTATATATATATATATATATATATTTTTTTTTATTTTTTTTTTTTTTTTTTTTAATTAATAATGTTTGAGATTTGACGTTTCTTTCATCAAAGAATCCTGGGGAGGGGGTGGGGAAGAATGAAGCACTTTTTTTTTCTTTACATTTTTTAAGTTTTAATTTTGAGCATTAATAATAACAACAACAATAATAATAAATGTTTCTTGAGCAACAAATTATTACTGTACAATAGGACTGTTTTTACTGTATTTTTGATCAAATAAATCCAGCCTTGGTGAGCATGAGAAACAAAAACATGAAACATGAAAAAAAAATCTTAGTTACACTTTATTTTAAGGTGTCCTCGTTTCAGTGTAATTATAAATTTAAGTACTGAGTAATATTAAGTAACTACATGTACTTTCTATATGGTTAGGATTAGGGTTTGGCTTTGGGTTACTTCCTATGTAGTTATGCATAATTTATTGTTATTATAATAGTAAGTACATGTAACGTGTAATAAGTACACCTTACAATAAAGTCTTACCAATCTTACTATCCCCAAACTTTTCAATGGTAATGTATGATTTAGTTTTCTGCTTTGTGAGATATTTTTAAAATAGCAACTGGAATATACAATGATATAAATGACATTTCTACCATGTATGTCGCCGATTACATGATACGTATTACCATAACGTTCAGCTTTATTTGAGGGTATATTGTGCATTTAGTGTTTAATAATGCGTTGAACTCTTTGACTCTTTGCATCTGTGCTTTAGGCTGTGTGGTGATAGCTGAAGCCTTCCTATGAGGTGAGCATATCGGTGTGGACCCCCGGCTCCCCTCCCAGTGCCAGCAGCAGCAGCAGCAGCAGCAGCAGCAGCAGCAGGACTAAGGGATGTCACAAGTATTCCTCCTTCTGACCCTGCTCTGTTTCTCCTCCTGCATCCAGGTCAGAGCTTATTCCCCTTCCTCTCGGTTTCTGTCACTCTCTCTTAAGGTGACCAGATGTTTGTGAAAAAATCAGCACAGTTACACATGTGCTCATTTTTGTTACTTACCTCTCAATATTCTGAAGAGGAAGCAGCGGTTGTACTTCTTTATATAATACTTACTGTTACCAATATCAGTTTCAATAATTTATTTATAGGACTAAGGGATGTCACAAGTATTCCTCCTTCTGACCCTGCTCTGTTTCTCCTCCTGCATCCAGGTCAGAGCTTATTCCCCTTCCTCTCTGTTTCTGTCACTCTCTCTTAAGGTGACCAGATGTTTGTGAAAAAATCAGCACAGTTACACATGTGCTCATTTTTGTTACTTACCTCTCAATATTCTGAAGAGGAAGCAGCGGTTGTACTTCTTTATATAATACTTACTGTTACCAATATCAGTTTCAATAATTTATTTATAGCAATCAGACCAAAGCCAAAAATTAATTATCTGGACAAATGGCGCTCTGTAACTCCATCAAGACATGGGCCATGGCTCGTATAATAGGTTTTATCTGGACATCTGCTCACCCTACTGTCTCCCTAACAGGGGCTTGATAGGCCCTGCTTTATGTACTTTATACTTTAGTATAATTTTAAGAAGAGTACTTTTTATGGAAGTAATGTACTTTAAAAGAATGTACTTAAGTGTGAGCTAAATGTTATTTGCAATTAAATGAAAATGCATTATAGTTTTAAATTATTTTAAATGTAAGTTGAACTTTAGAGTGCTTTATTGACTCACTTAAGCAAGACTGAAGTACATCTTAAAATTTCATTTCATAATTATATCTGTTGTCTTTAAAACATGGTTAAAGTGTGCTGACGAATATGCTCACTAGCAGTTATGGTAATAATTGAAACTTGTTTATCATCTATTTAAATATTTTGTATGTATTTCATCTATTTAAATACATAATAAACACAAGCACTTTAAATGTTTTTTAGTCAAATTAATGTTAACACATCAAAATAAGTGTATCGCTAAAGACAATGAATACATAGCCTACTGATTTAAAATTAACTTAAAAGTAAAATGTTTAAAGGGGTCAACAGAATATGTTGACATGCTTTAATGTTCAAAAAACACATAATTTTTATTATACTGTTAATGTTATTTTTTATACAAATACTGTACATTATTGTAGGTCCTCTATGCCCCGCTTCTCTCAAACGCTTAGTTTTCAACAAAGACCCTCCTTTGACAAGCGCAGTCTGCTCTGATTGGCCAGCTGACCCAGTGCATTGTGATTGGCCGAACACCGCAAGCACCTGTCGGAAATGTAACGCCCCTTACCTTAATCGCGAGCTTCATCTTTCAAAATAAATGTAAAGACAGAGCCCGAAAGGGGAACAGAGTCGCGTGACAGACACAGTGATGAAGCTGGTATGTGTTTGTGATGTGACCCCCTCTCTCTCTCTCTCTCTCTCTCTCTCTCTCTCTATATGTATAAATAAAGCTGAGAACAAGTAGAAATGCCACACACGCACCGCTCAGCTCTTTTTCGAGTTGGCTTAGAGACGGAGCATTATGCAACTCACTGAAGATTAGATTAGCCATTAATTAAGCATATTTATGTTAGAAAAAAGAAAAACAAGAACATCACAGAGGTTCATTAATAAAGCCCAGCTTGCAGAAGTTCTGCAGTCGCTGTATTTTATGGTTAGATTTCAATACTCCATCTACACCCAAGGTAAGTGACGCAACACACTGCTTTGTTGTTTGTACTGGGATGTTCACCTCAGTATGAGGCTTATATAATGTATTTTAGTCACTATTTACTTGGGAAAGACCAGCCTTGACATTGTTCTAGCTAACTTATTTAGTGTTTTACAGAAAAAAATTTGAATTATAATACTTAATTAATTTAACCTTTTCATGCGGTCTTACTAATTGGCTCTTGCAGGTGTCATCTGCTGCATCCCTCAAAACTTTGATGGCAAGATGGATGATGTACCGAGATGAATGTTTTCTAAATATTAGCAGAGAACCACCGATGACAGGTGAGTTGTTCAGCATCCTTCCACAAGTAATGGCTGGAGACGCAGTCACAGTTGTATGTAAGTTCAGTAGAGGTCTTTCATAGACCCTGTCGACAGCCATGATGAAAGTGCACAGTGCTGTTAAGGGATATATGTTGGAAAACACTGCTGAGACCTCTGATTAGGGGTTATGTCACATACTGATCCTGTCCAGCACTGCAAACAGAGCAGAGGAGACTTTAACATTAATGGTTGTTTTTCTAGGTCTTGTGTGCAACAGAACATTTGATAAGTATGCCTGCTGGCCGGATGCACTGCCCAATACTACAGTGAGTGTGGCCTGCCCATGGTACTTGCCCTGGCACAAGGAAGGTAAGACTGCTGGTAATATAACATTCACATTGATAACATTTCTAGGTCATATTTTATCCCGAAATCAAAAGAAAGAAACATATTTTTAGACTGTTAAGATATATTTACATTGTGAGATTCACTGTAATCAAGGTTTAAAGGAATAGTTCAACCAAACATGAATTTGCTAAAAAAAAAAAGCAAAAGATGTAGATGAAATTTAGGATCATATCACTTGCTCACCAATGGATCCTCTGCAGTGAATGGGTGCCGTCAGAATGAGAGTCCAAACAGCTGAAAAAAACATCACAGTAACATTTACAAGTGATCCCTGGGTTTCCGGGGGTCTTAAAAAAGTCTTTAAAAGTCTTAAATTTAGTTGTATCAAATTTAAGGCCTTAAAAAGTCTTAAATTGTACAAGAAAGTCTTAACTATGATTTCAAGAGGTCTTAAATTTGGGGACGGAAAGACCAGAATTGCGATATGCTGCTGAATGTGACGATTAAACTTCAGAAGGCTATGATTTCACTAAATAAACAAGTGCTGCACCTTCAAAGTCCGGTGCTGCGCTGCTTTGTGTACAGCATTACCGGGGAAACAGTTATATTTCTACCAAACGCTTCACCTGCTGCCAGAGAATGAATGAGCATTTTCAGTAAAACCGTTGTTTTGTTCAGAGTTCAGACCAATGCAAAAATTGACCCATGTTTTTACCCTGCAAACATGCAGAGCTTTAAATGTGAACTGGTGGATCGATAAGAAGACAATGCATTATAAAAATCTAAACACTATAGGGGTGTGCGATATGTATTGTCTGCGATAATATCTTAATTGTTGTTTTAAAGGGGTCATATGACGTTGCTAAAAAGAACATTATGTTGTGTATTTGGTGTAATGCAATATGTTTATGCGGTTTAAGGTTCAAAAAACACATTATTTTCCACATACTGTACATTATTGTTTCTCCTCTATGCCCCGCCTTTCTGAAACGTGTCGATTTTTACAAAGCTCATCGTTCTGAAAAGTGAGGTGTGCTCTGATTGGCCAGCTATCCAGTGCGTTGTGATTGGCTGAATACCTCAAGCGTGTGACGGAAATGTTACGCCCCTTACCATACTGTGATTCCCTGTGACCCGGCACGACAAGACAAAAACAATAAAACCCATTACAAACGAGGCATTTGTTGCATCCATTGGGGACATAATTACTGATTATAATGACTTATACTGTCTTTTTACGTTGCGTATCGCGCTGCATAAACATAAAACCATGTCTGCATATGTGATCGGAGAAACAACAAACAACAAGCTCTACTCTACACTGCTCAAAACTCTTGTTTGAATCATCAGTGGCAAATTCTTTAAATATAAAAAATGTGCTTACAGGCTATGAGTCAGAAGCGCCAGACTGTCCTTGCAAAGTTGGAACTGCCCCACTTTATAGAAACAGACACCGGCATTGTAGGCTGCTCTCCCAGAAAACAGTCCTCGTCCTCCGCAAAATGCGCTGGACACATCTGAATATTTGGGTTTAACTGTTCTGGAACAGTGTTGTAAATACAACTTAACCACTGATTTCTAGTTGTGTCCTCTTTTGGAAGGCCAAACAAAGTAGTTTCGCTTTCACAACGAAACACACAGCGTCACACACGGCGGCCTATAGTGAGGAACGGCCGGCGGGCTGAGTGAGCGGAGGCGGGCGGCCTTGAGAACGGCGCAGCCGGCAGGCTTGTGGCAACCACATGTGATGACCCCGGGCTGGACTCCGCTTTGTCCATGGTGAAAGCCGATCCGATGATCCACAGCACGAAGTTGATGTATTTCCTCAGCAACAAGCACGGATCAGCTCCAGGCATGACGAAGCGGATATCGTCCTCTTTTGGAAGGCCAAACAAAGTAGTTTCGCTTTCACAACGAAACACACAGCGTCTCCACAACATGGCAGCGGCGGCAACAATACTACAGTGAGAATAAAAGTTACGCCTTCTTTCTTTGCGTGAACATTTGGGCGGTGTTATGCAAATCTTCCCACATCGCGACTTAGACGTGTTTGAACGAGCCGTTTTAGGTAGGGGTGGTTGACTCTTAACTTTTATAAAGATATCTCTTTGGATTTGAGACCTTAGTCTTTGCAACTTTACCGACAGTGTACACGAAAGTAATGCAAAAGTAATATAACGCATTACTTTCCATAAAAAGTAACTAAGTAACGTAATTAGTTACTTTTTTAGGGAGTAATGCAATATTGTACTGCATTACTTTTAAAAGTAACTTTCCCCAACACTGTTTACAGATCCTCTTTATGCACCAAGAGCTTGTAACACTCCAAAGAGAAAGGAAAAATTTAAATCGCATCATATGACCCCTTAAGGATGTGCGATTTGATATTATCGAGTATCTCGTGAAAAGCAAACAGAACGCCTACAGTATGTGCGCATACATTAGGTGATGAAGACTAGCAGGTTAGACTAGTGCGCGCGCTTCTGTGTTTCCTCTGCATTGCAAAGATACATTTTGTTGATGCTGATTTAATTTGCTTGGTAACAGCCCACATGCAAGAATTTGACTCAAAAGATGGTGCACACTTTTAGAAAAAATGGCTTAAAGGTAAAAATGCCCATAAAACTTGTTGGAAATAATTAATTTCTATCCCTGCTGTGAACTGACCACACAGAATATGAAGTTCTGTCAGGAACACTATCGTCAAAGATGATTGACAATTAGCATACAGTTTGGATTGGCGGTATGGTTCTGTTCTGGGCAAGAACTCCCTGCACATCCATGCAGCCTAGCATGGATGAGAGCAGGGAGAGCACCGATAACCCCCCAGGGTAAACAGAACAGAACCAACATAAATGTATTGCAGATATCGTTAAAGTTCAATAATGTTATGTACACATTTTAGAATTAGTCTGATTCATCCCCCAACACAAACTGATAGCAAAATCTCAAAGCCTTAAGCAACAAGCATGTTGCCCTTAACCAGTGACCAATCAAATATGTTGCCAAAACCCACATAACCTGTAGCAACAATTCTGTTGCCTTTAACAGTTGATCAATCAATATGTTGCCAATACCTTAAAAGCTTAAGCAGCATTCTCAATAACACCAGCTAGACTTAAGAAAAACATGTTCCAATTCAACTACAGCTTTCAGAACAAGCATGTTCTGAATAACGACCAGATTGCTCTGGAACAAGCATGTTCCCAACAATACAGCTATAACTTCAGAACAAGCATGTTCCCAATAGCGACCAGGTAGATTAAGAACAAGCATATTCCCAATGCGACTAGACAGCTTAAAACAAGCATGTTCCAAATACAACTACAGCTTTTAGAACAATAACAACCAGACAGCTCTGGGACAAACGTGTTCCCAACAATACAGCTATAACTTAAGAACAAGCATGTTCCCAATAACGACCAGGTAGCTTAAGAACGAGCATATTTCCAATATGACTAGATAGCTTAAGAACAAGCATGTTCCCAGTATGACTACAGCCTTTAGAACAAGCATGTTCCATTAACAACCAGATAGCTCTGGGACAAATGTGTTCCCGACAATACAATTATAACTTAAGAACAAGCATGTTCCCAATAACGACCAGGTAGCTTAAGAACGAGCATATTTCCAATATGACTAGATAGCTTAAGAACAAGCATGTTCCCAGTATGACTACAGCCTTTAGAACAAGCATGTTCCATTAACAACCAGATAGCTCTGGGACAAATGTGTTCCCGACAATACAATTATAACTTAAGAACAAGCATGTTCCCAATAACAACCAAGCATGTTTCCAATACGACTAGACAGAACAAGCGTGTCTGATACAGAAACAGAATCAACGCTGAACTGACAGCTGCATCCGAAACTGGAAAATGCTACCCTCGGAGGACACATTTCAAGGTAGGAAGGCATTAGCTTCAATTCCTGCCTCCTGAGATACCTCATCTGGTTGATATTTAAAGGCGGAATAGATGTATCCTTTGCTGCCTTGATACCAACAATCCTGTGTGTTCTATCCTGTAATGGTTGATCAAATAAATCATTGAATATTTGTTATCACCAAGCTTGTTCTATTTGTTGTAGATCATTAAACCACTAAGCTGCTTCAGAAGCATGTCCGATATCAGTTTCGTGAGTTACCTTCATGAACAAACGCTGCCTGCGAAGTCATTAGCTGATAGGCAGTGAGGCAGCATGTCAGCAGCCTAGGTTTTCGGATGCAGACGACTTCAGCTGAACAATGACTGTTTACCATTTTCTCTTGGAGCTGCGCCCCGACAGAAATTATTCCATTTGCAACATGGTCGTTATTTCCTGCTGCTTAAATCTGTGCTGTAGTGCTATAAAAATTTGTCTCACGTAGCCAGACCTTCAGACTGACAGCTAAAGGTCTGGAATTCATGGCAGCTTTCTTTGGCCAAGCCCGCCCATGAGGCCGTTTGACCGACATGTCAAACAACCAATCACAGTTCGTTTCATTCAGCGGCACGTTTCGGGGCGTGGAAACGTTGGCTCAATAACAGACCGGTGTGTAAAACTCTCGGACGTATTTGAAAGATTCTGTGCCGCAAACTTAAATATTTTACATACTTTGAGAATCCAGCGTTTAGTTGACCCTGAGAAGCGCTCGTCGTCACAGTTGTAAACACGACGGCTTTCTTATTTCGTAAGGTTTTGGCATCACGGCATCTTTGTTTCCAGTGGAACATTAAAGAACTTGACACACACGTCTCCCAGAAATCCTGTATAATTCAACCAATCTGATGACGACTTTGAAACTCCTGAAGTGTTTCCACATTTGTGTGCCATATGCATCAGACGTTCAGCCAACGGTCCAAGAGCATGACGTCTGAGGCTGAGACTATATAAAAATAAAGTCGACTTGACTTGATATAACACACACAGTTTTGGCCAATCTCATGTTAATCTTGAATACCTATAGTGTAGTATTGCATCATTCACATCTCCGAAGAGTCTTCAGTTTTATCAGATTTATTTAAGAAAGATACAGCTTTCGATTCTCTCAAAAACAGCCAAGCTCCTGGAGGCGAGCCGTGGGCAGAGCTGAAGAGTCGCGAGCACTTACACTTACTAACAATCACAGACATTTGATGCAGTTTTACAGCAGTTCCTATGTGACTGGGATCTTTTATCGCTGGGGCTTCTCCATCTTCCAGTACCAAACGATGTGCAAATCCAGTGTCAGAATGTACCTTGTTATAAAACATTCGTCACCGAAATGACAGGAACAAACAAACACGCTTGAGAAACCTGAGAGCATTAAATGGAACTTAGCTTGTGAAGACGTTCGAGAGAGTGAAACATAGCAGCTGTGAAGTGGATGCTTGATCTCTTGATATCCTTCTTGGGGATGAAGTTCCCATCTGAACTTGTTCTTGAGTCAGTCACATAGCCTAACTTGTGGAGTCTGTGACAATAATGTAGAGATGCGTGAAGTAATGCTAACTCACTTCCGAATCAGGCAGCAATGTGGTGAATTCACGTGTTCAAGTTAACGAACTTGAATGAATCGGAGGTGAGACCATTGGGGAAACGAATTCCACTTCTCTAAATTCCTGATTCCTAGTGATGATGGTGTTTTGCCTGCCGAATTCACCATTTAATTAGGTATTGAGAAATGCGAAAACTGCTGGTAATACTGAGGGACCTTATATATGAATGCTTAGATAGGTGTCGTATTCCCATAGGTTGATGGGGATCAGCTGATGCGAGCTTGACTAACGTGACCTGCCAGAACTAACGCTACGCTAGATAATATTTAAAAAATCAGGAGTCAGCTGTGAACACAATTAGAGATAAGATATCAGCACAATAACACACTCTATAGCAAAATATTGTCTAATTATCGTTATCAATAAAATCCAAGAAAATGATCGAGATATAATTTTTTTTGTCAATATCGCACACCCCTAATTTATGTTATTTAATTGATATAATAATTTATTGATAATAATTGTTTAAATTAATATAATAATTAATACTTTTGACTCATCCATTTTCTTAAAAATTGTTTAAAGGCTGAAATGTAAAGTTTATCATTTTATAAAACTTTGTGTATTTGTGAAAACTTGTATCTGAACTGTAAATAATGCTTTTTACAGTAATTTTAGTTGCATATGGTACTGTAGACATTGCCCATTTGGTATTAATTGTATTTGTGCAGGTCATAAAAAGGTCTTAAAAAGGTCTTAAAAAGTGTGAGTGAGTGAATTTTAAGCAAATGGTAATTTTGGTTGAACTATTCCTTTAAAATGTATTCACATTTACAAGCCAATCTAGGCCATTTTACATTAACAGTTTACTCTTTCTTTGTCAGGATACAAAAACAAAAATTCAACTTAAAACTTATTTACACTTGATTAAGCTTGAAATATGATTTTAGCTGTTTCAACAGTCAAAAGACTCCAAACCCCTTCCTTCTAATTCAGAAAATTAACAATTATTTGTGTTATTTATGGCAGTGTTATGTATGGTTCTAACATTTAAATAATCACAGTTGTACACATTGCCACCATTATTCACATTGCATAAAGTAGGTTTCATTGTCTTTATGCAAAATACAATTTTAAATTCTTTTCATTTTGGGGTGAAATATTAGATGGGCATGTACTGACAGGTTGCACTTCATGTATTATGAGTATGAGTAAATTTATGTCCATAATTGTGTGAGAAAAAAAAGTATTTTATGTGGCTGCATTTTAAATAATGCACTTATTTTAGCTTAGCTAATTTAACACCACATGAATATATTCTCTAATGCGCATATGACATTCTCTTATGCATCATGTGTGACCAAACAATCTGTGTCTGTGTCTGTCTGTGTATCTGTGTGTGTGTGTGTGTGTGTGTGTGTGTGTGTGTGTGTGTGTGTGTGTGTGTGTGTCAGTCCGACATGGGTTTGTGTATCTGGAGTGTGATGCAGACGGACAGTATAGCAAACAGAAGAATGTCAGCGAATGTCTTTCACGTGACCCCACACAAATCAACATGGTATGTGAGAAACACCGCAACTCTTTTGAAGCTAGATGAATAGGTGATAGTTATATTAAATATCTGTTAACTCTTAAACGTGTTAAAGATGAATGATGTTCATTTCTGCACCACTAAGAGCTAGAATACACTAAACGACTTTTAAAATCTGAAAAGAGATTCCCTTGAAAGTTAAAATATCAAACATGTTTGTTTTCTGTGAAATCTGCAGACTTCTGGCATCTAGTGTCGATCTGCCAAAATGGCAAATTGAGCTAAACCGTCATGTAGTGTATTTCAGCCTTAATGCAGAGTTCATTTTTTACTCTTTTTTTTTTTTTTATAATTTCTTTTTAAATATAGTCACTATTTCATGGTGTAATTTGGCCAGCAAAAATCACAATGTGAAATAACAAAAATGTGTCAAACTGTAACAGACTATACTTGAGCAAAATTTTCAAAAATGTTTGAAAAAGTTGAATTATGTTTATCAAACATACTGTATAAAACATTTATCCATATAAATTTTAACCTGTAAGATTCTAATATAACAGCACTATAAGTAAACTGAAATATTAATAGAATTACAGTGTGTGGTCAATGGACTGTACTGTTGTTTAACTTCATACCGATTGTTCAGCTGACAAAACCAACACGTTCTCACTCCCAACTCGTCACATACTGACGCTTGGTCAGGACCCCTTGTCGTCGCTTTTTTTTTTTTTTTTTTTTTTCGCGCACCGGGGGGTTCTTTTTTCC